ACCTAACATAGAGCACATGGGTGGGGTTCACTGTGATGCTCCCACACACACCCCCCATAATTTCTTTCATTAGCTACACATGATATTACAATGATCTTGGCAGTTCATTCATTGGAATCATTGGGGTATGATTTCTCATTTTTCTAATTGTGTAGATTGCAGAATCACACTGTCACCCACCATGATTTGATGGGTCTTCCCACCAACACCTTCCTCCTCCCGTCCTCCTTCTGATATTCCCTCCACTGATCTCTCTACTCTTATTTTTAAAGTTGGCGTGTTACATTGCTTGTACAGTGGGACTCTGGTATCGTCACACGTGGGCTTGGCACACTGTGGTGGGTTTTCTTCCCCAGGTCACCTCCTCCCTGCTCCCAGTGCTCCTCCTCAGTGGCTCAGTCCCCCCTTCCATTGCATGGGCTGTCATCAGGCTGGTGATCATGGTGTCGTAGTGAGTGGCCCGAGTGACACACCTTGCGGACACATGGGATGGTTTCAGTGAACAGCAACGTGGTGGCAGGGAGGTCAGCACAGGGAAGGAAGAAGAGGGGATGTGGGGCCGGCAGAATTTGCACCACACCAGAGGAGCCGGACAGTGTCAGCCACTCACTGTGCGTCTGTCACGGTTCTCCAGGGACAGAGGCAGTAGGGAGCGTGTGACAGAGTGTGTTCTGGGGTGTCCTTTGAAGGAACTGGCTCTTGACCTGATGGGAGCTGCAGGTCTGGCACTTGCAGGCAGGACGGCAGCTGGAGACCCAGTCCTGGGTCTTCAGAGGCTGGAACCGGCTCGAACCCACAGAGCACATGGTGGCGTTCGCTGTGATGGTCAGAATGCCCTCTCCCTCAGAGTCTTTGCTGGACTGGGCAAGGCCCACCTTGCTCAGGTGGGCCACCTGCTCACCTCTGAAGATCTTTGCAGCAACCTCAGGACTAACGTCTGACTGACCTGGGTCTCATGGCCCAGCCAGGTGGACAGCACAGGGTATCCTCCCTGATTTCCCCATTCCTGTCCTCCTCCAGCAGCTCTACCCAGGCATCTGCTTCCTGATGAGTCAGTGGTGGACACGCCAAGTGGAACAGTCACCTCAGAAGCCCGTGACGTCCTTGCTGCTCCTCCCTGGCTCAGGCTGTAAATCCCACGTCCTCCCTGGGAACAGTGTCTTGTCCAGGTAAACACTGCGGGGCGTGGGGCCGGCAGGGAACCTGGCACTCTGTCCCCCTGGCTCTGGGTCTAGCCTGCCCCGGGTTGGACCGGTGGCTAGCTGGGCTGTCGCTCTCACCGGGGCACCACGTTCTTCCCACAGTTTGCTGTGTCAAAGCCCCCTCCCCGTCACCATGCCCATTTTGTCCTGCGGGAAAGCTACAATGGCAGAGGACCCCGGGGCCAAGGGCTGAAGATCCAACTGAGGCGGTGGCAGCTGCCCACACTGCACCTGTGCTGAGAAGAGGGCTGACCAGCAGACGGTCATGGGCCTTGTGTCCGTCCACTTCAGGCCGCCTGATATTCTGGCCTTGTGCATCTCGACCTCTGCAGCCCTGGTGGGGCGTTTCCCAGCTTATTTTCACCCTGGGTCTCTTCCCCTGACTCTGAACTGTCCTGGTCCCCGACATAAGCTAAGGGCACTTGATGACCTCAGCCAGCAATAGAGAAGCTGGCAGTGAAGCCACCTGGGCTGACTGTCCTGTTCACCACCATCTGCTTCAACACCAGCCCCTTCCCACCATAGGCTGCCTCTCACTGCCAGCTCCCTGCTGGGCCACCTGACACCACAGCTCACACAAGCCTATTCGAGACCCTCTGACGAGCCCAGAGGGCTGGGGTCACCACCACTGTCCTACATAAAGGGGATACAGGTTGACCTTGTCCATCCAGCAAGGACCCACCTTCCATATATATGGAGAACCCACCTTCTCCACCAGGGAGGACTACCTTCTCCATCAGGGAGGACCCACCTTCTCTATCAGGGAGGACCCACCTTCTCCATC